CTTTTTTTTTTAAACAAAGGAGAATAAAAACGCAGGTTATAAAAGTAGCCGCGTCATTTTGTGCTGAGTGGCTCAGATGGTAAAACTGTCTTCAGCCTGTGTGATTTTAGGAAATATCACGTGTGAGCTCCAAATCAAAACTTCATTTTAATAAAAAGTTCTGTCTTCTTGACATTTTGAAGAAAACAGGTAAATTTTTCCAGGTTTTTTCTCCATCAGGCGGGAAAATATTACATAACATCGCATCAAAAGGGCGTAACGTGGGCGGCTACAGACAATATGAAAATACTCTCACGCACAAGTAACATCATCCGTCACATCCACACCTGCAGCATCGCGTCAGTCGGCCCAGAGAAATAAAACAGAGAAACAACCAGAGTAACTTCAACACTGTTGGCTGAAGATAATAAATCCAGCTCATCTGTAGGTGTTAAACTCGTCGTTTCCACGCTGCAAACTGTTTACGTCACAAAACCGCCTCAGCTGTTCGTTCACAGAGAGAGAACGGAAAAGAAGAAACGCCGTTTTTTTGGTCATTTTACAGTCAGCAGCTCGTTTGTTTGTTTCTTGCATATTTAAACTGCGTGTTTTTCTTATTGTGCAGAGAAAACCTTCCTGAAAACGTTTTCTTTTGTTAGCGTTTCTGGTCGCAGGATGTTTTCAGAACATTTTTCACAAATTACGCTTTGAAAAAAGTGACGGGACAAAATCAGCCGTTTTCAGAAAGTCTTGCGTCCCCAGGGTCCCCGACAGGAAGAGCACTGTTCCAACCTGATGACTTTTAGCTTTTCAACAATAAAGTGCTCCGATTTCTGTTCGACGCCCCAAAAATCAATAAGAAATAAACGTGTGAATCAGAACTTCTTCTTCTTCTGTCCTCTTTAATCACCTCACGACCCCTCGGATTTATCTGCTGACCTTTCGGAGGGGCCCGACCCCTAGGTTGGGAACCACTGGACTAAACCAGTACTTTTTGATACTTAAAGTATATTTGCTGTACTTTAATAAAAGTAGAATTTATATTGATGGACTCTCAACCTTCCGTACATGAAATGTTTTCATGCACCTGCACTCGGTGTTTTCTGGCACCGAGGACGCGGGTCAGTTTGTCCGCAGACGGGTTCTGGTGTGAATGTGGATTAAAATTCAGCGTTACAGTCAGGAGTTTGTGTTCTGTAGCAGCCGAAGCTGTTTTGATGCTTCATCAGAGAGGATCGATATCCCACAATCCAGTTCACCTGACGCTGCTTCATCACGTGATGTAATCAGGTGTGATGCCGTGAGTTGGCCAGCAGGTGGCGGCAGTTTACTTCCACAGCGGATGAATCATAAAGAGCTGCGTGGGGCCCAGTCACACCTTCATCAGGTCAAATTTATACAGGTGCGTCTCGGAAAATTAGAATGTCGTCGGAAAAATCAAATTTCCCCATCAGTTAATTTCAAAAGGGAAACTTTAAGTGAAATTTTTCTTCTGTTTTAATCTTGATGATCGGAGCTCACGGAAATCAAAAGTCCAGATCTCAAAATATTAGAATAAAGAGTCTGGTTCAGCTCTCCAGAACTCTTTGACCCGGTCCACAGAGAGCTGGATCAAAGCAGATTCAGGAAGCAGCAGGGACGGCCGCAGCCTGCAGAGGACTGGAAAGCTGGTTCCAGAACTTGGGGGGTGGCTTCAAAAGGAGTGGACTGAGACTGGAGTCATCGAGATCCACCAGGCTCAGACGGGCCCAGGAAATGAGCTGCAAGGTTCACGGTCCTGGTGTCAGCCAGTCCTGAACCAGAGACAGAGTCAGAAGAGTCTTAGCTGGGCTAAGGAGAACCAGAACCGGTGCTCAGTGGTCCAGAGTCCTGTTTTCGGATGAAATCCAGGTCCCAGAGTCTGGAGAGGACCAGAATCCAAGTAGCTTGAAGTCCAGAGTGAAGTTTCCACAGTCTGCGATGATCTAAGGGGGGCCTTGTCCTCTGCTGGTTCTGGTCCACTGGGCTCACTACCAGGAGCCTTTAGAGACTCCATCTGCTGACGAGCTTTACGGAGACGCTGGTTTCCTGTTCCAGCAGGACCAGAACCACTAGGAACCGGTCTGCTGACCGTGGCGTTACTGTGATTGGTCGGCCAGCTCACCTGACCTGAACCCCTCAGAGACTCTGAGAGACCCTGGACGAGCTGAAGGTCTCTGGCAAAGAACCTGCGGGCTTCATAACAGCTCAGCAGGCTGATCGTCTCCTCGCCGCCCCGATGCAGAACCCGACCTTTACAGGAGGTCCACGTCTCTTTGATACAGTCTCCATGCGAATATTTTGAGAAGTGGAGTTTGGATAAAAAATATTTCACTTTATGTTTAATGAATCTGGAAAATATGAAAGATTCATTTTTTAATTAAATTACAGAAAAAAAGAACTTTCTGAGATGCACCTGTGTAAATAAAATCACTCTCATTTTGTTTACTGATCTGTTTCTGCACACCAATATATTTTTGCTGCCATGTGACCGCCGGCAGTCTCCTGTGTGAGAGGCGTCTGGCTGTTTTCCCACAGTACGGTCTGTCAGGATCACAGCCATCACACATGGACACTGACAGGAGGGTTACGAGGTCAGAAGGGGGCGTGGCCTGTCACTGTAACAAGCCAATGATGAGTGGGCGTGGAGATAACGACTGATAAACATCTCCAGCCAATCAGACGGCCCCGAGAGAGACGACAGCAGCAGCAACAGGTCCCAGAGGACGGAAGGGTGTTTTACTGTGTGATGCTGCTTCATCCTCAGTTCCCACCTCCGTCTGGTTTATCTGATCTGAGGTCTGCACCGCGAGGAGAGATCAGCGTTTTCCCCACCTTTGGTTTTCTGGTTCACAAAGGTCGGTTTATACATGCACGTCGAGTCCACGCCGCATCAGTTGGCGAAGGCTTGCCTACATGATAACACTCTGCACGCAGACACTTTGGTTTAGTAGGAAAGAGAAAACCCAGATAGTGCAGTCCCTGGATCAGGTTCAGACACATGAACCACTAAATGATGATGTAGCTTGGAGCGATAGAACAGGACTGCATCCTGCTCCCCAGTCTGCGTTCCCACTTCTGCCTCCCAGCGGAGTGTTCGGCATAATTCACCTGGTCAGAAAACAAGCGAGACCAGTTTCTTGGTTGCAGGAGAGAAAAAGCTGAGAAATCCTCCTCCCGTCAGTCTCTGATGTGCAAACACCAGAACGAAGGTGTAGAGGGAGGAGAGAACTCTTTTATACACAAATCTCCCAGAGTAACTTTATCTTTTGGCCTCCAGCTGTGGAACAAGGGGGGGGTGCAGGATTATGACAGACGGGAGGATGAAGAGAAGAGTCTGTAATCTGCAGCTAAGGGGGGGGGGGGGGTAAACCAGCTGCTGACTGTGACAGAGAGGAAGGTGGGAACTGAGGATGAAGAGAAGAGTCTGTAATCTGCAGCAACATCTTTAAGCAATTAAAATTCTGTTATCCACCTTAGTCTCTGCAGGGGGTTGTTGGGCTGCTGGGAACAGCGGAGGGGGGGCAGACCTCAGATCAGATGAACCAGCTGCTGACAGGTGGGAACTGAGGACGAAGCAGCATCTCACACTAAACCCCCTCCCTCTCTAATTGGAACACGCCCCTTCCCTCCTCTGGGACCTGTTGCTGCTGTCGTCTCTCGGGGGGCCGTCTGATTGGCTGGAGATGTTTATCAGTCGTTATCTCTACGCCGCTCATCATCGGCTCGTTACAGTGACAGGCCACGCCCCCTCCCGACAGACCGTACTGTGGGAAAACATCCTGCAGCAGCGTTTTCATTGGTCCACATGTGATTCATGAAGAAATAAATAAAGTGTATATTTCTATGTGAACACGTTCTGTAAACGTTGTGACGGCTGAACTCAGGAACAGCTGATGCAGGACTGACTGATACTGACAGCCGTTTCTCTTATTTTGGACGGGGAGCTCGAGGTCGTTTCTTCAGCCGTGGCCTCAGGGTGTTTGTGCAGTGAACATTGTGACGAACAGTTAACGCCTTCATCATTTTGTTTTTTTACTGCCTACTGCGACTCTCAGGAAATGGCTGCACCAACATTTTATGGGCGCGAGGAACGTGAAGGAGCAGTTAGGCTTCTTCCTTCCAACAGTGAGGCAGGCGGACCCGGCGGCAGGTCTGAGGGAGATCAGGGTCAGCAGAGCACCGTGCTGGATGTACTGAACAGGTGTGTCTGAAGAGACGGACACGACCTCCGTTTCCTGCTCCCAAAAACTAGGGTGAAATAAACACTCGTGCCACAGAAAGTATTTATTACGCAGCGTATTTATGAAATGAATCACTTTAATGTTGCAGCTTCAGATGATTTAGATTCTGCTGCTGGACTTTAATCTGGAAGAATAATCAGCATTTATTAGATTATCTGCAAAGTGTCTGAAGCTTTAAACAAATGTAGCGCAATAAAAGTAGAAAGTACCAGAAAACAGAAATACTCTGAAGGATCTCAAAGTTTAACGGGTGACTTTCGAGTCTTTCAGAGTCTTTCAGAGTCTTTCAGAGTCTTTCTCTTTAAATGGATTCAGACCTTGAATATAATCTCTGGGATTAAACAGAAACCACTGCAGCAAACTTTTTATTGATCTGTATTCTCACAGAAACATCTCAGATCCAAATAATCTGCAGACAACAAACATCAGGACGAAGTTCAAACTGCAGAAACACCAAAGTTCTTTAACTTAAAGAAACTAAACGTGGTCACTGACTCTTCTGCTGAGACGCAGAACTTCCTGTCCAGCACGACTTCTTCTTCTCTGCCGGCAGAACATTTCAGCTCACTCTGCATCAAGAAAACTCAACCAGACGGTGAAACACTGAAGATGTGAATATCACATCAACTCGGTCCAGAACAACAACATGTTTTACATCAGGCCAGCCGGACTGGACTCGCCCTGCTGGTCTCTGCTGGATCAGCCGGACTGAACTCGCCCTGCTGGTCTCTGCTGGATCAGCCGGACTGGACTCTCCTCCCGCTGGTCTCTGCTGGATCAGCCGGACTGGTCTCGCCCTGCTGGTCTCTGCTGGATCCAGCCTGTCTGATCAGCTGGTTGCCAGCTCGCCTGGTCCAGGTTCTGCACGGGACCTCTGTAGTCCTGGTCCCCCGTCAGGCTGTCCCAGTCCCCCTCCACTGAACTGTCACAGCTGGAGTTTGGAGACAGCGTCCCCTGCGGCCCGTCCTCCCGCTCCAGGCTCCCCGCTCGGCCCCGGGGGGCCCCTCTGAGGTCCTGGTCTGTGAGCACCCGGTCCAGGAAGCTGATGTACCTGAGGGCGTGGCGCAGGATCTCGTTCTTGCTGAGCTTCCTGTCGGGGGGGTGAGTGGGGATGAGACGCCGCAGCTCGCTGAACGCCCCGTTAACGTTCTGCTGACGCCAACGTTCCCGGCTGTTGGTGGAGATCCGACGGACGACCCGGGGACCAGAACCTGGGGGTGGGAGGAGAGAGCAGGGGGGTCAGCCGGACTCACGAAAACCAGATCTGAGGACACCCGGCCGGCACACAGGAACACATGAAGAAGAAACGGGCAGTACAAGAACAGCTGACTCTAAAATCAGTGTTTTCCTCCATGGAGTCTGGTCTGCGCCGCCAGAGTGACCGGAGAAGCTTTTAATTCTAATCAGTGATTGGCTCTGGTCCCGGGGGGTCTGGCCAATCAGAGCCCAGCTGCTGCTCTGTGGCCTTTATTCATCAGACTGTAAATGTTAAACAGGAACCAAATAATCTGCCAGATATGAAAAAACTAAACTTCACATTCAGTTTTCATCATTTAAGGACAGAAGAAGAAGAAGAAGTTCGCTCGGACCGTCAGGGAGGTCCAGCTCACACGGAGTCGCTCTGAGCTCCATCAGGACGCGTCGATCCGGATCCCTGCAGACAGACAGACGGTCAGAGTCTGAAATCTCCACATCAATAAAAAGGAGACCAGTTTCCAGTCAGACCTGGTTCTGAACAGCTGTGATCTGATCGGGTGCAGCTGTTTCCCTGCGGGTCTGACCGGGATCCAGGTCTCCGGACTGACCCCCAGACTGCGGTTCAGCTCGGTTTCCTACCTGTTGCAGGTGAGGAGGTGACGCGCGGCCTCGTGCGGCATGTCTCGTGCAGGCAGCGGAGGACCGGGCTGGATGATCCGGGTTCGGCTCAGCGGCTCCGGGGCAGCAGACGTGCTGGAGGGGTCCGGTGGAGTTCAGAGTCTCCGCCGGGTCCCTTTTATACCCGCCCTCTGCGGGTCGTGACGCCTCGTTTCCATGGAGACAGTCCCATTAAAGCCAGACAGAGCAGGACTCCCAGGAAGCTGCACCCCAGGGACCTGCAGGGGCCAGGGGCCGCCTCTCCCCGCCCCGCCCCCCTCCCGCTGCAGGAGCCGTGTTTTCCGGCGCCTCCTCCTCCGTCACGACGGAGCCCGGAGCCCCGGAGCCCCGGAGCCCCGGAGCCCCGGAGCCCCGGATCCCTGTGAGTCCTGCAGCCCAGATAACTTTCACTGCTGAGCTTTAAACTGCAGGCCAGTAAAAGTACTTTCCATGAGTATTTCTTACATCCCAGAGGTTAAACTGTATATTTATTTACTTATTGTTTGTGTTTTTTAATCAAAAAGCCGACTGGGGACAAGTGAATCAGCTGTCTGTCAAACTTTATCTATAATATAATAATAATAATAATAATAAACTTTGCTCTTTAGGAAGCTGAGAACAGAACACGTGTTTGTGATCACAGGAGCTCTGAGCAGCCTCCGGGGCCTCCGGGGCCTCCGGGGCCCAGAAACCCAAAGAAATGTCTTCAGAATCTGTTGAACCCTGCCGAACAAACCCCGTATCTCCAGGTGTTGGACATCCTCCTTCAGCTGAACGAAATTCAAATTCAATCAGCTTTTCTGGCATGAATGCAGAGCGACAGTACTGGCAGAGCTGCATGTAAATTACACAAGGACAATTCATTTCATTAAGTAAGGACATAAAACAGTAAGTTGGGTTTGTGTGATAATACAAAATAAAATAAATAGATAAAACTGTAGACGTGTGTATTAATAGACAAAATAATAATAATAACCAATTAGTTTATTAAAACAACAATTACTGAAAATCAAACAATCAAAATAATAATAATTTGAAAATCAGTCCAGTTCTTCATTAGTCACTAAAAGGAGCTCAGCACTCAGTGAAGTATTTCTGATTAATCCTGGCTGGATCAGCTGGAAACTGTTGTTCTTTAGAGAAACACATGGTGGTCTTATAGACCATGATGCATTGCTGCAGATTAAACCGCCTTCCTCTGGTTCAAACTGGGTTTATTGTGAAAGAATCTTGTTTTCCGCCGGCAGGTAAACGTCTTCTGCACAGCTGCTGAGTCAGAACCAAGCCGGGAGGTCAGGGGTCATCAGAAGGAAAATATAAGTGACTCCCAACAGAAAAACACCAGTTCCAAACTTTAACAGGGTCTAAAGAGTTCAGACACCTGCAGCGGAAAACGTCGACTTCTACTGTAACACTGGAAGTAAGGGAGGCTGTGGTTGGAACACTTTTGCTTCAGCAGCTAAAACTCACTGAACTTTCAGCTCGAGTTCTCAAATTTCTCTACAAAGTCCCCACAGTTGTTCACTACAAATGGCACCGATTCAGTCCTCTACGAGAACATCACAGACCTCGGGAGTTGATGCCAAATGCAATGTGTTCCCTTGTTACAACAATCGCACAAAAGAAGCAAAAACAGACGCCACACTAGATGATAAGCTGCGACGGGCCGGCGCCCTGTCCGGGGTGGAGCCCGCGTTTCGCCCGATGTCAGCTGGGATTGGCTCCCGCCCCTGACCCTGTACGCAGGATAAGATGACGATGGACGGATGGACTCCACTGTAATCTGTATATTCTGAATGCACCTCTTCCCAGACTTGATCAGCACCAGGCCTGATCGGGGAGGAAGCAGGTAAACATGAAATGATCACTTAACTCTCTCTCATCTGGATTTGGTGTTACAGCCACTACAGGTTGCTGATGATATTTAGATGAGGTTTGAATGCAGGACTCTGGGGACGCTGGGGACGCTGGGGACATGTCCCCACCACTTTTTTAAAGCATAATTTGTTTTTAAAAAAACATCTTACAGTTAAATAACAAATGAAAATGCCTTTAGAAAGGTTTGTTTGCACATTAAGAAAACATGCAATGCAATTAAAATATAGCAGAAAGCTAAAAAAAAAAACAAGGCTGATTATAAACTGACCCAAAAAGGTGCAGCACCGATCAGTAACTTTGTTTTTGGCCAAGTTTCCTCCCTGTGAACATGACAAAGAGGAGAGAGGACTAAAGCAGGCCTCAGCAGGACGATGTTACAGGAGAAAAGCTGATCTGCAGCAGAAACAGATCTGAGAGCTGCTCTCACTTAGATTCTCTAAAATGTCACGAGCCTCCTGAATTCAGTGTTTCCTTTTACATAAATAAAAACATTTCCACCATAAATTGGTGCAGACACGTTGACCAGAATGCAGCAAATGAAGTGTTTAAAGATGTGAATTTCCTGGGAGAGGCCCCCCAGACCTGCCGCTCATTATCCCGCTGAAGAAGTCTTTAAACGCTGTTTAAGGATCTTTTGGTCTCGTCCTTGTGAACCTAACATCGCGTATCGTGACGTCTCGTGAGCTAAGTGTCTCTTCACGCCCCTAATCTGAGCCCCTGTGCAGGCCTGCCCACAGAAATGACTGGGCCCCTGAAAAGGTCCAGAACTGGCCCTCTGCAAATCTGCTTTCCTCATGTCTCTCTCTGTCCCCTACATGAACACATACGTGGCCTGCTGCACTTCTGATGTTAACATTACGCAGACCATTTTCATTATGGAACAGGCTTTATTTTTACTTATTTAATAAGTAAAGAACATTATTAGTGCTGGACTGCATCGGCCCCCTCGCAGCTGGGCCCCAGAATGCTTTCAGGTCGGCCTGCCCGGTGTCCCCACCACTTTCATTTGCATTACAAATAAAGACAAAAAAAAGGAACTTAATAAAAAAAAAACAAGCGGCTGATTTCTGCATTTATCATATTTTCACATTATTTGCTGCCTGAATTTAGTGTTTCAGATAATTAAAGACATTTTCAGTGTTTCGGCCTGTAGGTGGTGCTACTGTAAGGGGGGGGGGGGGGGGGGGGGGCGGTGCAATCAGATCAGGTGCTGCCGGAGGGGAAAAAGCCGTGGAGCTGTTCGTCCATGAAGATGGAAACTTTGTGCACCAAAATCTTCTCTCTCGCGGCCGGTAAGCGC